TTTAAGATTTTGAATAGCTCAGCTGGAATACTGTCACCTCCACTAGCTTTGTTGTTGCTCAGACTGCCTAAGACCCATTTGACTTCACATTCCAGGATGTCTGGCTCGAGGTCAGTGACCACCCCATCATGGTTATCAGGGACGTTAAGCTCTTTCTTGTATAGTTCCTCTGTGTAATCTTGCCATCTCTTCTTAATCTCTTCTGCCTCTGTTAGGTCCCTGCCATTTTGGTCCTTTATCATGCCCATCATATCTCCAATTTTCTTGAAGAGATCTCTGGTCCTCCCTATTCTATTGTTTTCTTCTATTTCTTTGCACTGTTCATTTAAGAAGGCCTTCTTATCTCTTCTAGCTATTCTCTGGAATTCTGCATTCAGTTGGGTGTATCTTTCTCTTTCTCCCTTGCCTTTCACTTCCCTTCTTTCCTCAGCTATTTGTAAAGCTTCCTCAGACAGCCATTTTGCTTTCTTGCATTTCTTTTTCTTTGGGATGGTTTTAGTTGCTGTCTCTTGTACAGTGTTGCGAACCTCCATCCATAGTTCTTCAGTCACTTTGCCTGTCAGATCTAATTCCTTAAATCTATTTGTCACCTCTACTGTATAGTCATCAGGGATATGATTTAGGTCATACCTGAGTGGCCTAGTGGTTTTCCCTACTTCCTTCAATTTAAGCCTAAATTTTGCAACCAGAAGCTCATGATCTGAGCCACAGTCAGCTCCTGGTCTAGTTTTTACGGACTGTATAGAGCTTCTCCATCTTTGGCTGCAGGGCACATAGTCAATCTGATTTCTGAGTTGACTGTTTTGTGCTGTCCATGTGTAGAGTTGTCTCTTTGGTTGTTGGAAAAGAGTGTTTGCTATGACCATCGTATTCTCTTGACAAAATTGTACCAGCCTGTGCCCTGCTTCATTTTGTACTCCCAGGCCAAACTTTCCTGTTATTCCGGTTATCTTTTGGCTTCCTACTTTAGCATTCCAATCCCCCATGATGATAAGGACATTTTTTGGTGTTAATTCTAGAAGGTGTTGTAGGCCTTCATAGAACTGGTCAACTTCAGCCTCTTCAGCACCAGTGGTTGGGGCATAGACTTGGACTATTGTGATGTTGAATGCTTTGCCGTGGATTCAAACTGAGATCATTCTGTCATTTTGGAGATTGTATCCCAGTACTGCTTTTCCTACTCTTTTATTGACTATGAAGGCTACTCCATTTCTTCTGAGGGAATCTTGCCCACAGTAGTATACCTGATGGTCATCAGAATTAAATTCACCCATTCCTGTCCATTTTAGTTCACTGATTCCTAAGATGTCGATGTTCAGTCTTGTCATCTCTTGTTCGACCACATCCAACTGGCCTTGATTCATGGATCTTACATTCCAGGTTCCTATGGAGTATAGTTCTTTGCAGCATCGGACTTTCCTTTCACTACCAGATACATCAGCAACTGAGTGCCCTTTCGACTTTGACCCAGTCGCTTCATTCTTTCTGGCTCTACTAGTACTAGCCCTCCGCTCTTCCCCAGTAGCATATTGGACACCTTCCGACCTGAGGGGCTCATCTTCCGGCGTCATATCTTTTTGCCTTTTGGTACTGTCCATGGGGTTTTCATGGCAAAGATACTGGAGTGGGTTGCCATTTCCTTCTCCAGTGGATCATGTTTTGTCAGAGCTCTCGGCTATGACCTGTCTGTCTTGGGCATAGCTCATAGATTCATTGAGCTACGCAAGCCCCTTCGCCACAACAAGGCAGTGATCCATGAAGGAGAATACAAATTATGACCCCATTTATGTATGTTTGAGGTTCTGAAAAATAAATGGGAAAAAAGCACACACAATGACAAGAAAGGATAGTGATCAAAGCAGGGAGGTGGGGACAAGGCAGGTTCTGCTGCAAAGGATACTGAGATACTGATTGGCGGACCAAGGGTTTTTTCCCCCCATGAACAACCAACCCATCTTATTTTCAGGGTGGCTTAGTGTTGTGTGAACCTGCCACTCACCTCACTGTATGCTTTTTTTTTCTTTTTTAACCTGTAAAGAGAAGGGAAATGTCTTTCAATATTTTCTATATAGGGACTTTCTCCTGACTAGTACCCATAGCAGTTTGAGACTAAAGCACAGTCCTGTAAATGTCTCCTCAGAAAAAGGTTCACCGAGTTCAGTGGGGCTTACTCTTAGGTATTGTAGCCTTAGTATAGGAATGCAGGATCCTTCCCAAACTTGGTACCTTCCAGCTGTATTAAACTAGGTATGCTTGCTGGGGTGGATGAGAGTTAAAAGTACAAAACATCAGGAGGGCAGCAAGTCAGGGGAGGCTGAAATACAGGTTGGGCTCAGCAGGTCATGTGTTGATTTCAAGAAGCTCTGGTGGTACCTCAGGTTATGCTAGGAAGAAGGAGGGTGAAAGGAAATTTTTTGAATTTTTTAGGGGAATAAAAAAATCCCCAAAAAGAAGAATCAAAATTCTCACCACATCTTTCCAGTGTAACCCACATCAGCAGGAGAGCCTTGTTATCAGAACATAACTGGATGAGAGCACCGTAAATACCTGCTGACTCCTCCTCCCACACTATCTCTTGCAGCTAGTCAAATTTGTACCTAATGTGACTTTGCTATTTATTTGCAGTCTTTTTTCTATGTCACAATTCACTTGGCTTCATCTTCCTTCATAAACGAATAGAGTTTGAAAACTTGCAAATGTTTAGTTAACTTTTGGTTAACTTCAAAACAAAAACAAAACTAAGTTATTGGTTATAGCTTGCTAAATTCCAGGGCTTCAAGGAGCTTGTACCTCAGGGGCCACAATTTATGTTTCTCTGCTACTGGTATGCCATTATTTCTTCTCTCCTAAATGCTTTGAAGAATTACTATGCTGCTGGGTGGCCACATTTAATTCCTTGGTAAGATTTTTTTGGCCTTTGTTTCTGCAGTGCACCATGTTCAATCTTAAGAGACCCCTGTGTTACATGCATCACAAACTTCTGTGCTCTTCTGCCATTGTTTCTACAGCTCAATCTCAATTTCTTGGCTCTGCCTCTACAATCGGCTTGTCCTTTCTCAGCCTCAGTATTCACCAGCCACCTTTGGTGGGCAGGGAACTGGTTCTGTAATTACATGATTGTAAACAATAACTGCTGAAGTTCTTTAAATAGAAAGCTTTTTAAAATCTTCCATAAAATGCACTCTGATATTATGTGTACTGAAAATGATAAATAATGGAAGTAAGTTCTATTTTCTTTTCGTTAAGAAGCAAGCAAGCACATCCATTCTTACGTAAGTAAGTATATTTAAATTCTCCATGATAGTCTTGCTCTTTTGTGCCAAGCTCAGCTTCACTGTGGAATATTGGCTGGAGTGTTTGAGTGGCACACAGGCGATCTGGGTTCTAGGCTTTTCTCAGCCATGGAGCTCACTGTATGACTTTGGGCAAGTCACATACTCCCAGCCTAACCTTCCTCATAGGATAGTTGTTGTGAGGATAAAATGGAGAGGAGAAGACTCTTGAAAGCTACCTTAGGTTCCTTGGAAGAGGAAGAAAAGCAGGATATAAAAGTCAAAGAATAACAATAAAATACCCAAAATGTAAAATCAATTTCGAGGTGGAAGAGAGAGAAAAGCTGAAAAAAATTGTTTTAGTATGAAGGAGTGTCCAATTATGACTCATACCAGTTGAAAACTGTGTATAAATTAAGACCATGCTGATGATTTCTCCTACTTTTTTTACTGTTCTCATTTAATTTGAAAAGAAATTACTTTTGAAAGGAAATTCCAAGGAAGATATTTCAGAGAAATTATTATGGGTTGTGTTTGGGTTTCTTGTGCTTACCTGACTTGGGAAATGGCTGAGGTGTGTGAGCAACTGTTTTTCTTCATACAGTCATCTCTCCAGCAGCCTGTAGCCTCCTCCGTGTTCTGCATTTCAATTGAGACCCAGGGAAGGACATCATGAAATAATTCCTCCCACAGGTTCTTTTCCAGTCCAGGAAGTATGGGCAGCTTCAGAGGCTGCACAGCAGTGGACAGATGCGTAATAGAAAGAAAAGACACACAGGGCCCTAGGCCACCTTGCATTGAGTGATGTGGTATGCTCAGAAACATCTTAAAAATCCCTTATAAAATACCCAGTAAATGAGGCAAAAAGAATGGAAGCCTCTTTCATGGGCAAAGAAAACTTTCAGAAATTTGAAGGACAGATTGAGGCCCAGCATTTGCTGCACCCCTTCACTGGAGCTCAGCACAAAATTGTCTCCCTCACACCTGCCTTGTGGTAGATGCAAAACGGGGTTCAGTCTTTATGATATAGCCCAGAGAACCCTTATGGAAAAAAAACCCAAAGATGTGCTGCAAACCAGTTGTGAGAAAACAATGAGTCCTACCCATAAGAATTCCCCTTTTCTTTGGAGAAATGGGCACAATTTTCCTACTCCTGATTTCTCTGTCCACAAATAGGGTAGAGAATTTCAAAAGCCAGTTTGCACACAGCTCGTATAAATAGCTAAGGTATGCAAAATCTGTATTCTGTCTGCTTTCTGTATATAATTGAGCATAGGATTTTATATAACCTTTTGCTGGACCATCAGCAATGGTTCAGGAGGCTATGCAAGCAAATACAACAGTAACACAGTTCTTTATTACAGCAGTGATCTGTAAAATATTTAAAATAGTGTCCTCCAGTCACTTAAATTGACATACTCATATAATGATGGCATTTGACTTCAATCTTTTGTGAAACATGATGGTGGGAAATACAATGTATACAATCCTACATTGGCCATCATGTAGGATTGTATACATTATTTCTCAACGTCATCATATTTAAAAAATCAGGAATTCCATGCTGGATTTGCTTTCAAGATTATATTAGACCAGAAGAAGACAGCTTCTTTCACAGTACCCCACCGAGAAGGAAATGACAAGATTCAAAGGCTCTAGGGAAGAACAGCATTTTCTTATAATTAACTTCATTTTGTAATCAGCTGTTGGTAACTGTTACATTTTCAGGTGGAAATCTGACACATCCCAGGGACGTAGAATTTGGAGAATGTACAGTTACATGTGGTGAGTATAAAAGCAGATGAATAAAAAACTTAAATAATGTAATTTGTGTGTGGGGTGGAGGAAAATAATATGCTAACATTAGCTGTTTAGCAATTGTAATTTATGTGCCCTCGTTCACCTTTCATTGATTTCAGTTGTTGATAACTATAATTAACAAAAACAATCCAGTTGATTGTCATTTATACATTTAGGTCAGATCTGTTGTTAATCTCACAGCCTGCAAGCTCCTTTTAAAAATCCAGTTCCATTTGTTTATTGGCTCATGAGCTGCCGTCACCAGAGTAACAATTTTCTCTATTTGGGAACATCTGTGAGACATTAAGAAGCTGAAAGACCTTCTGATGCATCTCACAGATGTCTTCCCCCATACAATATTACCAGCTCTATTAAAACAAATTGCTTTTCTTTAATAGTCTATTCTGTATTCAACATGTCATACAATTTATTAGTTGTGCTAAGGGTAGCTAAGGTCTCAGAAAAGAGTGGAAAGACAGTGTTCAACAGTACTATGACCATCGTTAGCAAATGCCTGTGACCATGCTAAGATAATGAGAAAAAAGGATATATCTTACAATGGCTCCATTTCTCAAGAAGCCCACAAAGGGAAGCAGGTCCTGTTGAAAACTTTATTTTCATTAGATCCTGGTGTTAGACATCTGCGCTTCAGGAGAAAATACGAAGCGTCTCCAGCCCCCGTCAGCAGAACAATCCCTGCCAGTGAATATTTTTAATATTGAACCATATATTCCTTTTGTACAGTTTTCTATGTGATAGTTTTAAAATTGATTGAATTATAGAACCATGCAGTTGTAAGGGGCTTAGCAGGCTATTGAGTCCAACTGCCTGCTCAGTGCAGGACTCAAGTCACCCATCCAGATTTCAACCCAGCCCAACCCTTCTTAGCTTTCAAGAATAGGCAGGATCAGGCACTTCAGGCTATACAGAAGCATATATCCAGGTTGGTCCTGGCCATGTATGGAGATACCAGGGACTTCTGTTTGCAAAAGTCTACCACTGTGCCATGGCCCCTCCCCAAAGTTTCTGATTTCACAGTGTTCTGGTAATTGTTAGAATTTGTAGTTACCCATGTGCTTATAACTTCCTTGCTACCTGTCTTTCTTTCTCCACAAATATTATAGCATGGACTTATCTTATGCTGTTGTTCATATTTTAACAGCAGTTTTAAAGTACTCGATATTTTATCCCTTTTTTTTAAATCTTCCTGAGAGTCTGTCAGGTAGATCAGCATTGTTCCTATTTTTACTGCACAGGAATTAAGGCTAAAAATAGTAACTTTAACAGATTAACCCCATATTCCTGAGGGCTGAACTTATTACAATTTATGTTTCCTTAATCACAAGTGGAGCTAGTGGCTATGGTCAGATAGCACAGTAATTCACATTCAAGGATTAAGTATGGTTTAAGTGTGGGTTGTCAGTGAACCATGAATTGTTGTTGAAACATAAATTATTGTGTTGTCTGAACTCAACTGTGCTAACAAAATGTAGTTTATTTAGTGAAGCAACCCATGAAGAGAATCCATGATTTCTTGTTGGATGAGGAATTATTGGTTATTCACAAAACATGTTTTGCTTCCATGACTGGTTTCCATAACAACCCACAGTCCAGTGGCAATCCACAATGAACCCATACTTAATTTCTGAGTGTGGATTATTGTGTTGTTTTTATCTCAGTCCCTCTGATTACTAAGACTTCCCCATTATTGTTGTTCAAAACACTTTTTCCCATTCATTTTGTCATTTTTAAATTCGGTAGCTGAAAACTGAAATAAGTTTAAATCATCTTCTGGTCATCATTCTTTCTGGATCTTTTGGATGTGCTGATTCCTTTTAAATTTAACAACTTTTCTGTATTGAATTGATCTGCTACCTTCTTCTGTATTATTAATAAAGCTGGCCAATCAGACTTGGCCAAATGCCAGTTAAATGTATATATCCCATTAAACCAAAAATATCTGCTCTCACACACTTTGAATTATATGTAGCAATGTCCATCCACCAAGGAAACAGCATGTACCAGAGCTACATAGTTCCCTTCTGCCTGCTACCCTTTGCACTCCTCACAATCTGCTTTGGGCAGTTGGACTATCGAACAGTCTGGAGGTGCTGGGGGATTGCAGGAGAGAGGAGAAGAGAAAACTCCTTTGTACCACTGGAAGTTTTCTTAATGTCTTCAGGTACCACTCTTAGACTTCTTAGTAGCTGTGAGCATCTGATCTTCTCAGTGAGAACTTCATTGGAACACGATGTTGTAGAAAATTACGGAAAATTGCGAGCCACAAAAGCATGGAGGTAAAATATTAATGTTATCAAGGAAAAGAAGGAGAAGAAAAGAAAACGCAAAATCAAGGTTGAAGAAAACAGTAACAAGGTTTGAGAACTTCTCAATTAAGTCTTGCTGGATCTTTATATTTGGTTCACACAGGACTGTTTTATCTGGCCTAGACTTGTTTCTTGTTTCACGGCACACACACAGAATCTGGTGTCTGATACTAGAACTAGCATGCAGAAATGGCTCTTTCTTCCACTCTGTTGATGACAAAACTAAGGGAAAAAAAACCACATGCAGTGGCAATTTTCTCACCTGGAATGCATTTCAGTAATGGGTTTACTTTATGGGTCACTGTGCAAGTAAATCTAAAGAGATTGTAACTACTTGAATACGACTCTGTAATCCCAAATTTAATCTTCAGGTAGTAAGCTTCCCCCTCTGTTAATGGTATCATTTGTTGGCGTATTTCACAAATCATGCAGAGTGAATAGGGTTTTTCCAAATGTATCAATTTCAGTTTCTCATTTTTCTGCTTTTAAATTCAGTTCATCTCCAATTTTGAGAACGTTTTAAAATGTTCACGTGAAAGTGTATACATTTTTGTACACATTTCTCCCAATACATAATTTTTGTACACAATTTTGAGTAGTCTACACTTTTTTGAAAGCATTTCCCTAATACAATGCATTTTCTGTATTCTGCTCACTAATATACTTTGTCTGTGCACTTTCTTCTAATATATATACATTTTTGTACACTTTTATCATCGAAGAACTATATTGCAAAATACAGAGAAGTGCCAGTTTGGTAGCATAACTGAGTTTTGGTTTGCATATTGGTTCAAAATGCAAAATCAGGTAAGTCTGTGAACTGCATGAATTTCTCCTCCATCCTTAAGGGTAAGGATGGTCTTGCTTATCCAGCCTCTGTCACTCCTGAATTGTACTTGGACTTGCAGTTGGAGTTTATTTGGGGGAATTTGGATAGTAGAAATAAGAGTCACGTGGAACATGGGGACAGGAATCAGGCTTATGTTGGCTCAGAAGGATACTCTCATCTCTTTTCTTCACCCCTTTCCATGGAGAATTAGAACACTCATTTGTTATACTCTTGATAACTCTTGCACTTTTCTTTCCCCAGACTGATCTTGTTCAGTCATAACTTTTCTCCTCCCTTTATATGGGTTTAAAAAAAACCCGCAGATCTCCAAAGCAAGAGAAATACCTTTAATAAAAATGTCAGTTCATTGCCACCTACACCTTTGTTTTCTTCATCTTTGATATGATACCTGCTCAGCTACTTTGTGACTGTTCCAGTGAGTGTTGCTGTTTCTTTTGTCACTTGAGGTAATGCTTCATGACTTAAGCATCAGTTAAGAAATATTACAGAATCCATCGGGTTCTATTCTGTGTTGCAAAATACTTTACCACAAGGTATTTTTCATATGCAAAGGGATTAATTCAATATTCAAATAGACTGTTTTGTTTATTTCTAGGTCATAGAAGGCTTAAAAAATCTTTCCTGTTCTCATATGATTTAGTAAACAAAATATTTCTGTAAAGGATGGCAATCTACTCAGTATTTATTGGGACTAAACATACTATTCTCTCCTCCCTCGCATCCTATGCCATTTGAGAGAGTTGAGTACAAAGTGTTTGGCAGAAGAAAAAGAGAAAAACAAAGAAACACAGCACTTGTGTTGAATATGCTTGTATTTTTTGAAAATGACTTGTTTCCAAGTGAAATGCTGAAATCTGAGATTTGGAATTTTTTAATTCTGATTGCATATAGCAGTCTCCATTCTCTGCAGGTTGCAGTCCTCTGCACTTACTAGTGCCCTTGAACTAAATGGGTCTTATTCCAAGTAAACAGGGTGAAAGTTACATAGTGCAACAAAGCTATATTTTGAGATAACTTAAAACTGATAAAATGTAGCACATCTTTAACATGTGACCACCCTGCAGTAACATACCAGAACCAAACTAGTCCCAGAAAGCTGTATGTTGATGAGCCTATCAGTTAATGCTAGCATCCCAACACTGGGGAATATATGATGAATTTGCATTACTGTTGGCAAGGTCTTTGTCATCTTCTTCTTCCTTCCTCCATTTATTATCATTAGTTGAGCTATGTGTGTCTCCTAAGAGCCATCACTAATACAGGTCGGGCATTGATGATTACCACCCCATAAATTGTCCAAGTTCAAATATGAACTTGTCAGTGTTGCTTTTTAGGATTATTAAAGCAGAATCATTTCTGGAAAAAAATATCAAATTCCCAGGAAATATTCTGAACCAGATATTAGTGACCAACTAGGCTCATGCCACTTCTCTCCAGTGTGTTCAGTGGTGCTACTGCAGTGAATGCCTCACATTGGATAAAAAAAGGTCTATGCAGATGTAATGTTGCCAGCAATCACTACAAAATGGAGGAGAGAAATAGTAAGCTATTTTCAGGCTGCATACCATCTACATACACAATTTATCTTATGAGGGTTGCTGACAAGGTGAGATAAGAATGACATCTGAAGGCTTCCTTTACTGTAAGAGTACTTCCTTCCTTCCTGAAACTGCTAGATCCTGTGAGGTGTTCAGTACTGTAATTTTCCATTGGCATCAATAAGACTTAAGGATGCTCAGCACCTGATTGGAATGAGCTCATCAGAGCAAAAATGCTCCAGGCACCAGATTGTGGAGGCTTTGAAAGGCCAGGTTCACAAAGGCTGCAAGCTAGCGTTGATATTTAAATTTTAATTAACTTGTTTGTTTTTAGCAGTGCATAAAATGAAAGTGCATATTCAATTCTAGTAAAAGGAGAGTGTTTTTACATGGTGGGATGGTGGGGCACCATCAGCTAGGCAATAGTCTCATGCAGAATGAGGCTTATTTAGCTATAAAAAGGAGGTGGCTGTTCTGAAGGCCTTTCACAAGACCAGAATCTCTTGATTTTAGGAGTTCAACTACAGGAGCATTCACCATAAAGAGAAAGAAAGCAAAGAAATGGTTGGAAGAAATACAGAGACGCTTACTCTTACTCTTTCTATTTTGATCAAAGGCATTGGCATTCGAGAAGTTATATTAACTAATGGATGCCCTGTAGGGGAATCAAAGTGCATTGTCCGTATTGAAGAGTGCAGAGGACCAACAGATTGTGGATGTAAGTAATCATATATAGAGTACCTCCTAGTTAGCTTTAATAGGTAATAATGACTCACTCCCATAATGGCATGTACTGATTCTGAAGTAGGTTTAAGGTGACATGGTCCTGCAGGTCTTTTAGACCTAGGAAATATGTATCTTTTTAGATTATAGATTCTTTCAAGCAGCTTTAAATATTAATCTACTAGCATGCAGTGTACAATTTTATTCTAATTTTAATTATATCTTCCAAAGCCCTAGCCTGTTATTATGAGGTACATAATAACTGGGGGGTTTTTTAGTTACAGGCACAGAGTGACAATTAAAACTCTTCTGCAGGGGGAAAACCAATTTCAGAAAGTCTTACTAGCGTGAAGATGCCTTGTATTTTTATACCTCCAGAAAACCGATTTCAGTATGTTTGGAAAATGTTAATTCCAGATCAGGTTAGTAATTTTGTTCCATTCTGTGCACTACTTACTTATTTTTTCCTTTCTAATGATTCTTTGTAAACTGTTGGTTTTGCATAATGGTGTATCTATATGCACCTCTCATAAACTACATCAGTTAGACCTAGAAAAGATGCATCCATATTCCCAAAAACCTCAGTTTAAATTAAGGAAGAAAAAGCTACCAGAGAGACAAAATTAAGTATATACAACGATATAATGGAAAGATTTGAGAAACAAATATCTTCATTTTTCCTGACCAACACTCTCTCCCCACCATTCTTATTTTCTTTCTTCTGATGAATTAACTAATTAATTATTAACTAATGGAGGCCATGGAGTTAAGTTATTTTAACTGAAAGATGCTCCTTCCTTCATGTTATTTTAAGGCTAAGCTACTTCCAACACATTGACCAAAGAATGTGCAGAAAGTGTGGGAATGAAAAACTTTGCTATTAATTTGTGACAAATACATAGATCATCTCCACCCTTCCTTATATAAATATAAAATAAACTTGAAAGTAAGCTTTCCTCTGAATTTCTTTGCATGGAGCGTATGTTCAGAAGAAGAGATTCATTTTCAGTTGTCAAAAGTTTGTGCTACATCCTTCACTGAAGAGAAAATTATAATGTTGGAAACTTCAGAAGAATCATAGAATATAAAAAGCTCCCTTCACCAAACTGTCACAGTATTGTGGCATAGTCAATACCTTATGAGATAATCCAACTTTGTTTTTATTGATAGCAATCACTCATACTTCCTAATGATTCTGCTATTCTGGAGGTCCACAGAGATACTCACCCAGTTGCGTTTGAGTGTGATACATCAGAAGATGAAGACCTGATTGCAACTGTAAAATACACAGTATATACAACAGCTGGTAAGTTCATGGAAGTTCATAAATATTTAGTCAGATAGTTTTGAGATGACCTACATCCCCATTTGTAACTTTGGAACTCCAAATGGAGAAATCCTCTAAACACTGACGTTTCTTCTTTGCTCAGGGTATAAAGGAAAGGAGTTCTGCTCACACGAACTAAAATGTATAAGGTGCTCAACACTAATTCATGCACCCATATACAACAAGATAGTTTTTGAAAGCAGGATGTTTATATAGCAGTGATGTACAACTTCTAAATCATGAATCATGCATGCCAAGTTAAACCCTTTTCTTATGCTTTAATTAGCTACTGTACTGCATTCAATCTTTAGCATTTTTCCCTCACTGATTTCAAAAGGCAGGAAGATCAGGCAATTTAACAGAAGCATCTGGTGACACCTTGTTCAATTCTCCCCAGGCCCTTTGTAATGATCTTGCAATACTGCAGAGTTAGAATTTTTCTGATGTACTAGTTGCAGCCGTCATCTTGCATTTTGCCACTCAAAGTAGATATCAGTTCAAGGTCTGAAAAGGAGCCTGAGATCAACATGAAAAGAAAACTTAAAAAATTCTTCCTCCTTTTCTTCACAATAGTGTTCTTCCCTGTTCTTTGCAGTTAAGATGTACCCATGTTGCTAAATTAAGCAGTAGGGATCACAGAAGAGTCCCTGAGCAACTCTTTAAGAATAAAATCATGATAGCATGGGAAAGCGCTAGATGAATGCCTATGCAAGAAAGTTCTGCAGAGATGTTCTTTAACATACCAGAACTCATACATAAAGCAGGGTGACTAGATATAAGAGTATTGTGCTCCTGCGCCTTTAATAGTTATGTAAAAGAGGAAGTTTTAGGAGGTGTAGTTGTTCTCTTGTCTGGGCAATTATTATAGGTACAGAAACCCTGCTGTCTTTTGCATCTTTCCAACCTACATGTAACTAAAATATGTAAGGGCAGAAAGAAGCTTGCAAACTGTCAGAGAGAAAGAGAGAAACATTTGGATGGAGGCACTGTTTGATTAAATGTATGTGATTGTGTTACTGCTAGATTGGCTGGTTACTTTTCTGGGGACTTTATCCTGTATGATTTAATTGTATAATAATAGTAGTGATGATGGTGGATTGATGCATTTAGGACAGCATTGTTTTTAATATGGTTTACATTTATATAGGTTTTTGTGTTTGTTTTTTCAATTTGTTTGTATAAAGGAGGTCTATACATTTTAGAAATAATTAATAAATAACACAAGCAAATAAATCTAGGATAAATGTAGGAAAATGCCTGGTTTGGCAATACAGCAGGATGGCGCACCACTGGCTCATGGACTGGACATGGCCCACAGGGGTTTCCTCTCTGGCCTGTTCTGCTTCTTCTGCAGCCACCACATTTTCCTGCAGGGAGGAGAACTTAGCAGCAGCTTATTGGAGGGGAGAGCTTTTACCCTACAGGAGTGAGTAGGAAGGAACCTGGAAGAAAACTGCTGAGAGATTCAGTCCTGTGTATTTGTGAGCAGATATGTTGCAGGTGGTACTTCTAGAAAATTTCAAATTGGAAATTGAACTGTGCATGAAACATTGACAACTCTCAAAGTTCTTCTCTCTTGCACTGTGGTTGTTGAGGTACCTTCAGTTTCACTGCCCCATCCTTTTAGCTTTATTTCATACTGAACCATATATGCATTTCAGTGTGTGTGTAGTGTACATGTGAGAGAGTCTCACGTACTTGCTATTAGGTATAATCACCTAAGTAACATCAATTACAACTTTGAAATTGCCAAACTTGCTTAATATTGTGTGTGCAGTTAGCATCCATGCATTAAATTTATGAAATGGAAGGTTTTGCACCTCTAATTTTACACTGCAGTTATGCACTGGGTAATCTGTAAAGCAAACAGATGTGAGGGGCTGGCTGTTAGTCTGCCCAAGCAGCATTTATTCTGAATAATCTCTTGGTTTCTACTGGACTAAGGACTTCACAGCCATTCTTAATGCTGCCTCCATTTCAGAACAGTAGAAACTGAAAAAGCAGATATGGCTAAATAGTTGTCACTGCTAGAGAGGGATGGGACATATTTCATTATAAATTACCATTTTCTTTCCTAAGTCTGAGGATATTAGTAGATAATTCCAGATGATTTGCAAATTATTATTTATCCCATTTTCTAAGCTCTGGGACTAAACAAAGGACACCTCCCCCACACACACACATCAGTGAAAAGAAAGAACTAGGCATAGTTTATGAACAACTGTATGCTGGAAATAAGTTGCCATGGATTCTCAAGGTCATGCTGAGGGAAATTAGGTACAGGAAACAAGGAATGGCTTCATACGTTACTGCTTGGTGCTATTAGATAAACTGGCCCATGTCAAGAGATTTTATCCAGAGTATTTGGATTGATGGCCTGACTTAGTAAGTCTTTGCATACATTTCTGTCACTGAAGGAATCATGAATTATTGCAGGGAGCAATAGAACATGTTACGTCTGGTCAAATTCCTAGTGCATTTAATCAGAGCTTTTGCCTTTTTATGGGTTGAAGATGGGCCTGTAGTTGATGAGTTATATCATTTGGCTTCTGGTTGGGAGCTTTTAATTTAAAATGTGAAAAAACCCTGCCCATTGTATCCTATTGGGATTTAACAAGGTCTTTCCTTCAATGTGCCCAGAACAATCCTGCAGAAGAGAGGCAGTAGAATGCGAGTGGCTGGTTATGAAGAAGATGAAATAGAAAAGGAGGGGAAACAGAAGAGTAGGAGAGATTTTGTCAGTTAGGGTTTTAGGCAGTAGGGAGGCATTGTCCAAAGAGTTGCAAGCTAGTAGCCCTGTTAGAAGAAAAGGTGAGAGCACTGGAGCAGCGAGTGTCCACCCTCATAATAAAAAAGAAGAGTTCCTAGACAGAGCAGAGCAGCAGCAAGTGTCTTCCAGAAGCAAGAAGAACATTAGCAAGCTGAGGCAGGAGAAGAGGGAAGGGAAAATGAGGAAACTCCCTGGAACAGGGTGGCAGTTAGATGCAGAAGACCAAGAAGGCACTCTGCACCAGTGGAACTCTCAAACTGCTTCAAGTTACTTGAGGAAGAGATGGGGGAGGAGCTCACTGTGAAAGAACTACATGGCGCACTGTGAATCTCCGAAAAAGAGACAAAAGGCCAATCAAGAAAGGAAAAAGATACCGAAGTTTGAAGAAACAAGAAACTATTGTGCAAGGTGGAAAAAAATATATGTTGCGATAACCCAGAGAATCACCAAGTATGCTGTCTCTTTGGTGCCAAGATTAAAGATATAACCAACAAGTTCATGCAACTCATACAACCCACTGACAAATATCCCTTCCTTCTCTTCCACATGGGAACTAATGACACTGCCAGGAGAAGTTTGATGAAATAACATCAGACTTTGAAGCTCTGCGAAGGAAAATAAAAAACAGAGGGACCCAGATAGTCTTCTCCCCAGTCTTAGCAGTACGTGGCAGAAGAACTGTTAGGGAAAGAAAAATCCCCAAGTGAATGATGGTCATGCCGTAAAGAGAGATTTGGATTCTGGGACCACTAGCTAAGCTTCCTGGAAGACAGACTATTGGCAAATGATGGGCTGCACATCACAAAGAACAGATGCATGTATTTGACCACTACATGAAAAAGTTCATCAGGAGGGCTTTAAGCTAAACCATATGAGGGAGGGAGATATGCAGCACAGCAGACCATCACCTGCCTTCTGTATCTCAACAAAGAAAAAACTGCAAGCAGTGCCCAACACCAGTCTCCCCAAAAATGTGAGAAGAAAACCAGAGCACAATAAGAATGAACTTAATTGTCTCTGCACCAGTGCCCAGGGTATGAGAAACAAACAACACAAATTTGAGCTCCTAGTACATGAGGGCAATTATGATCTTATAGGAATAACTGAAACTTGGTGAATGACTCACATGACTGGAACTCTACTATTGATGGATACAACCTGTTCAAGAAAAATAGGACACAAAGGGAGATGGAGACACACTGTATGTGAGACACATACATCTGCACAGAAATACAAGTAGAGGAATTAGTAGCTCCATTGAAAGCATCTTTCTTAAAGGGAGTAAAAATAAGAAACATAGTAATTGGTGTCTATTAACAACCACCCAGTCAAAAAGAGGATAAGGATGCAACCTGTGAAAAGTAACTTGCCAGCATTTCCAAGAAGAAAGATATAGTCATCATGGGGGGCTTCAGTTTCTGCCAAACATGGTCCCCCAAGAGATTCCTGACATGCGGTGCTGACAACTTCCTCCAACAGAAGGTAGAGGAAGTAATGAGAAAATCAGCTATCCTCAATTTAATACTAACTAATAGGGAGGGCCTGGTAGACAAAACAGCAGCTGTGGGAACTCTGGGGAAAGTGACTATGTGATACTCAAATTCTCAATTATAAGGGAGACAAAGGTTAACTGCAGCCAAACACATATCCTGGACTTCAAGAAAGCCAACTCTGATGAACTCAGAACAATGATAAGCAAAATGCCATGGCAACTCTTTCTTAAGGGAAAAGGAATCCAAGATGGGTGGGAAATATTGGGGGGGGGATTTATCCACGCACTGTAACGAACAATTCCAACTAGAAAAAAATGTAGAAGACAAAAGAGGAAGCCCACAGGGCTCCACAAAAAATTGACAGCCGGAAAGAAAAAAACATGTACAGGAAGTGAAAGCAGGACCAGGCCGCAAAAGAAGAGTATAAACAAATAGCAAGGAATGGCAGGGATGGCATCAAAAAGGCTGAAGCAGGAACTGAACTGAGAATAGGAAAGGATACTAAGAACAACAACAAAGCCTTCTTCAGATACATCCAAAACAAAAGACATGTGAAAGAGAAGGGTGTCCAGCTACTTAAAGTTGGTGGAAGATGAGAAGAAAAAGGCAGAGGTGCTCAATTCCTACTTTGCCTCAGTCGTCTCCCACAAGTAAATTTACAATCAAGAGGAAGTACAAGCTGAAAGTGAGAGATGGCAGCCCATGATTGACAGACA